TTGGCAGTGCGTCGACTTGAGAACTTTGGTTCCACACTTCTTGCTTGGCAGTGCATCGACAGGTTGTGCTCGGGTTTTGGACATTGGATATTGGCTGTTAGTTGGCAGTGCATTGACACGGCATTTTGGTTTTACTAGTTGGCAGTGCATCAACTCAGTACTTTGGTTGTGTCAGTTGGCAGTGCGTTGACTTGACATTTTGGTTCTACTAGTTGGCAGTGTGTCGACTCAGTATATTGGTTGTATTGGTTGGCAGTGCGTCGACTTGATATTTGGGCTTTGCGTCGCCATCTGAACGCTGTTGCTACAAGGGATCTTAATACTTTGTATTAAGCGCTGACTTGTGATATTGTTGGTTGTGGTTGGATTAGTGTTGGTTTTGGTTGTATAGAAGATATTGGTTGAGACACCACTGTTTGCTATATATAAATTCTTGTTGTCGACTTTGTCTTCTGCGACTATTGAATCTGCGTCTATTGAGAGTTGTGATACTGGTGTTCTGTTCACCCCAAAGCCCTCGCATCTTTCACACACTGAGAAGCTGATTACAAGGAGTGTAAACATGTTTATATTTGGGTTTACTTCATAGTAGATTCACCTGTGAGCACGCGCTCAGCATTTCACCAGTGCAGAAGTTTGCAGAAGAAGCAGAGAAGGAGAAGGAGCAAATGACTGAAGGGAAAATTCCGGATCAATACCGGGAGTTTGTCAAGGTCTTTGCAAAGGAATTGTTTGACTTGCTGCCAGACCGACAGGCATGGGATCATGTGATCAAACTCAAACCTGGTTCCAAAGCAGTGGACTGCAAGGTGTACCCACTATCACAAAATGAGCAGGTCAAACTGGACGAATTCTTGCAAGAGAACCTAGCCAGCAGATGGATCAGGCCATCAAAGTCACTGATGGCATCCACGTTCTTCTTTGTCAAGAAAAAAGATGGCTCATTGAGACCCGTTCAAGACTACCTGAAGTTGAATGAGATGACGATCTGAAACTGATACCCACTACCACTGATCTCCGAGCTGGTCCACAAGCTGTGCAGTGCTAAATACTTCACAAAGCTGGACATCCGATGGGGATACAACAACTTCTGCATCAAAGAAGGCGACAAATGGAAGGCTGCTTTTCGGACAAACCGCGGCCTCTATGAACCATTGGTCATGTTCTTTGGCCTCACAAATTCCCCAGCAACCTTCCAGAGCATGATGAACAACATACTGTGGGAACTGATCAACAAGGGACACGTGGTAGTCTATCTGGATGATATATTGATCTTTACAGAGAACCTGGAGGAACACCGGCGGATCACAAAACAAGTACTTGAACTGCTCCAAAAGCACAAGTTGTACCTGAAGCCCAAAAAATGCGAGTTTGAATGCACGGAAATCGAATATCTAGATGTAATTATTGGACACAATTCGATGCGGATGGACCCAGTCAAGATCAAGGGCGTGATGGAATGGCCCGAACCAAAGAGTGTCAAACAGGTCCAAGCATTCCTGGGGCTCACCAATTTCTATCGACGCTTTGTCCGAGGATATGCAGAGGTCGCCAAGCCATTGACACGGCTGACAGGGAAGGCAGGATAGTCATGGGGTACGGATGAGCATGCGGCATTTGATGGATTGAAGAAGTGAATCGCGGAGGATGCAGTCCTGGCATTGCCAAATGACACTGGCCAATATTGTCTGGAAGCCGATGCTTTGGAAGGGGCAACAGGATCCGTTTTGAGCAAAAAACAAGATGGCATTTGGTGCCCAATCACGTTCATTTCACATGCATTGACTGAAACCGAGCGAAATTACGAGATCTACGACAAGGAAATGCTTGCAATCATGCTATCATTGGACGAGTGGAGGCAGCTACTACTGGGAGCCACGGAAACATTTGAGATCTTCACTGATCATCAAAATCTTGAGTATTTCTGGAAGCCACAAAAGCTCAACCGACGGCAAGCACGATGGATCACCGAGTTGGCAGAATTCGATTTCATCTTACAACACTGGCCTGGCGCACTCAACCGCAAGGCAGATCTCTTATCACGACAAGCAGGTCACAATCAGGGCAAGAACAACAACAAGGACATCACGCTACTGAAGCCCGAGTTCTTCTGATCACAAGAAGTCACATTCGAAGGGCAAGATCAGCAGCTGATCAATGAGATCAAAGCCATTTGATCGATTGATGGAAGTGTCAAGGCGGCCCTAGAGAGGTCACTCGTTGGATGGAAAAAAAAGATAGACTCATCACATATCATGGAAAGCTCTATGTACCGAGGGACAAGGAGCTGCAAGACAAAATCATTGGGCTACACCACAACACGCCTTTGGTCAGACACGCTGGGATCAACCGAACGCAGGAGATGGTGGAAAGGAATTACTGGTGGCCTAGGATGGGGAACCAAATTCGGAAATATATCCAGACATGTGAGGCATGCCAACAGACCAAGACCAGGAGAGCAAGGACGGGGACTCTGCATCCGCATGCGATTCCAAACGCGCTGTGGAAAATCATCTCCATGGATCAAATCTGACCCTTACCGGTCAGTAATGGGCATGATGCAATTCATGTGTGGTGTGACACCTTCACCAAAATGATCCATGTCGAACCAATTAGTACTGACATCAGCAGCAAAGGAGTAGCACGGTTAACCAGTGTTGGATTTAAGTAGAATTCCTGGGATGCAGCTTGGCTGTCCCAGAATGCTCCAGATCATTAGATAATTGTATTTAGTCATATACTGGTCAATAGTAGAATATTCTAGATTACTTACATTACTAGTATATAACTAGGCTGGTATGTAGTCTAAAGGGCATCAGTTTGCCCTAAAGCAATCCAAGTTCAATTCTCATTGCTATTGCAAACCTACACTACAATTATCTAATCAACCCTTTGACCCATTTTTCTCAACAACCAGAGACCAAGTTTTCTGCTATCACGGGATCCCTCGCAAGATCATCACCGACAGGGACTCACAATACATCAAGGGCTTCATGAGGGAGACAAATTGGATGTTGGGCATGGAAATGAATCTGGGGACTGCATATCACCCAATCACGGATGGGCAAATGGAGCGCATGAATCAGGAGATCGAGCACTATCTCCGCATCTATGTCAATTACCATCAAACAGACTGGTTGGAGTGGCTGGGAATGGCGGAGTTTGCATATAACAACAAAATGAACACGTCAACCAAAATATCACCATTCTATGCAAATCACAGATATCACCCATGGAAGGGAGTGGAACAGTGGATGGAATCGAGGAACAAGTCGGTGGAGGAGTTTGTAAAAAGAATCAAAGAAATACAAGACAAAGCAAAAGCAGCACTAGAAAAAGCAAAAGACAAAATGAAAAAATACTACAATAAACAAAGAAAAGAAGTTCCGGAGTTGAAGGTTGGGATGAAGGTGTATATAGAAGGGGACAATATTGAGACGGATAGGCCATCAAAGAAGATGAGCAACAAGCGACTGGGACCATACGAGATACTGGAGAAGGTCGGAGCAGCCGCATGGAAACTGGATTTGCTGGATACGGACTGGAGACACCCGGTGTTCAATGAGTCACTACTGACGCCCTATCACGAACCACCCCCCCCATCACCAAGAGAAGAGACCCGTAGCCAAGATGATCAGAGGAGCAGAGGAGTGGGAAGTCGAAGAGATTGTGAAGGAATGAAAAGTCGGCCGAGGGAAGCAGTACTTGGTCAAATGGAAGGGATGGCCACATAGTAAAAATACCTGGGAGCCATCACGTCATCTTACCCACGCAAAGAAGGTCCTGAGAGATTGGCAGAGGAAACAATCCAACCCAGACACACGCATTCGCCTTCTGCCAACACTCAAAGCTGGACACTGGGACTATCTCATTCACCACTACAAACCCAGAGATGAACACCTTCCATATCCCCAACGACAACTCTTTGACCCTTACGAAAACGTCTTCACACCCATTGGCTCAGTCGATGAGGACATCAACCCTAGAGAGGGGGTAATGTCATAATTCAGCCCTTTTTCATCTTATCATTGATGATCTTATCTTATCTTGGCATGGATTATCTTATTGCGGATCATGGCATCTGACGGTCCGGGCTAGGGGTCTGGGGATTATCTTTATTGATCCAAGGCTGTGCGACATATGCTCTGGAAGGTTCTACTACAACCCATGACCAGTGCTCCATGTGGTACATAGCGTTATGACTCGTTAGTTGTAGATATGACTCAGACTGGATTTGGGTATAAATACTGTAGCTACTTGGTTGTATTCTCCAGTCTTCAAATTCACTTCTCTTTTCAACATTATGTCTTGTTGATTGTCACACAAAGTTCAGACCACAAATCAGGCACTCAATTCCATATTTGAAACACCCTATTACATGAACCAAAAGCAATATGTAATGACTTTTGTGAGCTAAGACATTGCATGGGCCTCAATAACAACTACCAGAGCACATCCAAACAACCAAAAGCCCTGGCCAGTGCACCGTGCATGCAGTCCACAAATTGCTTGCTAGGCAGGTGCCTCCACTGATCACCTCTAATCAGTGCTTCCAGGCGGTGGTTTGATGGCCTCCAGGGGGGCCTGGAAGCCCATTTACGTAATGAATTAGAGCTCCCCGGGAGGGCAGTGGTGCATGGTCAATCAAATCTCTTTGGAAACATCTGTGCTCCCATTACAGTAATCAGATTTGGACAGAACATTCATTCATTTTGTGATTATTCGTTTACTTTAAAAAAATTAGTCTTCAGCGGATGAGCCAGTCCTCGGAATGAGCCGCTTCCTGAGCTTATTCTCATGGAGCAGAGAAACCCTCCGATCATGGATTACACACTAAACAGGGATGGACCGAGGAACCATTTCGTGACCTCTTGTTGCCTGCATGAATTTCAGCATGAAATTACGCATCCCAGATGCAAATTCATTCCCGGCAGCGTCCGCACAACATTTCACAATTGCCAGCAGCCTCACACACGTGCTCCACATGATGTCATCAGAGTGCCGCTCTTCGCCAGAAGCGCCAATAAGGCTCCTCTTGTATTGAACCCAATTCGGCTCCGTGACGGGTGGACGGACCCCAGCAGGTACTTAAAGCCGACGACGAGCCACCACCTGCCTTCCTCCGCTCGCTATTACCCCCGAATCACTCGCCCGATGCAACTTCCCTTGGTTACATACCTTTCAGCCCTCTGGCTTCTACCTATCGCTGTGTCTGCCACGCCGAGGATGGGCACCACCCAGATTGTGCTTGACGATGTCGTGGCGCTACCTGGGGACGACTCCTCTACTATGAAGACGATGCCAGAGACGACTGGTCTGCGCACGACCGCCGCCTGGGGATGGGAGGACTGCGGTACGCGTTCGCATCTCTCGCGTCTCAAATGCTCATCGCCGCCTCCTTCCGTGCCTATCTTTTCACCGAATCACGCATGCTGTCTATGAACGCAGGGTCGCCTTCGGATGGCATCATCGTCAAATCCCTGACCGTCTCGCCTGATCCCCCAGTCCCCGGTCAAGATCTCGTCGTGAAGGCTACAGGTGTTGCGAACTACGATATCGAGGTGTGCCTCCACGGCAGTTTTGATACGACGGGTACTGATTCCATAACCCCAGGACGGCGCGTGGGCGGATGTGGTCGTAAAACTCGGTCTAGTCAAGCTGCTGCATCGAAGGTTCGACGTATGCGAGGAAGCGTGCGTCTTATCCATTACTTGGCCGGTAGCTCGCTGAAATCGTGGTTCTCTTGCGTTTGCATTCCTGCAGTCGCAACGCAAACGCGTCCATCCAGTGTCCCATCAAAGAAGGGACCCATGAGGTGACACAGGTCGTTGCACTGCCGAAGGAGATTCCACGCGGTGCGGCAGCTTGCTTGTATTCGTCTGCAGGCCGTCTTACCCGTCTTTGCAGCTAAATTCACTGTCGACGTCAACGGGTATACTGCAGACGATGATGATCTGCTCTGTGTCAAGCTGAAGGTCGATTTCCTGCCCAACAGACGTTGGTTTGGACTGCTTTGAATCGTTGCACACGTAGTTTGTTAAAACCCGTCCGATGTATGCACTTCAATGCAATCAGAGTTCCTTGTCCAAGTCGAACGTACATCTTGCTCATAGGATTTACTAGGCACCGATCATCATGATTGATTGACGTCTGAGATCCGGGGATATTTTTATCTTTTACCTCTCCTATGCAAATTCGTTCATTCCTGAATCTCAACTCGCATCAACGTCCCGTTGTCTCACAAGTCAAATCCACGGGAGACCCGCAGCGGGAGAAGATCATGAGCACGGCGGGAGACCTGAACAGATGAATGAACTACAATCATGATCAGGCCAGGGCGTGTGGACTGAATGTCGGGCTACTGACGCCGTAACCGTTTCACGCCATAGCCGACGTTACTTCATCTCCTGTTTCTTCCCTCCTCCCTCCTCTTCCCTCCCATCCCCTCATTCTACTCCAGAATGTTCCCCTCCGTTGTCGCTATCTCCCTCGCGGCCCTGCTATCCACAGCACAGGCGCTCCCGGACGGCGTGATTGCCACTGGCACACAGGGAACGACCAACCCACCAGTGCCCACGATGCCCACCACGATTAACCAGAACTCTATGGCCCGTTTGCTGAGCGTGAACTCCATTGACGACTTCTGCATCTTCGCTCCTCCGAATCCCAACTCGGTCATCGGTAACACCGAGGTATGTTTTCGAAGCCGGCTGCATATGGTCGCTGATCCCGCAACGCAGACGGAAGAAGTCGCCTGGTGCACGCAGCCGCGCAACAACGCGCGTGTGATCCCCGACGGCGTCATAACAGGTCTCTCCTTCCTCAAGAACGACTTTTACGTGCAGATTTACGGGACGGGCGACTTCACGAAGCTGAACATTCAGCCGGGTGACTACGGTGGCGAGCTCGATCCGCATGGCGCCAGCGGTGCGGGCAACCCCGTCGGTGGCAACGTCAGTGTCCCCATCAACGGCGTCGAGCAGCCCATCGCGGAGTGGATGATGTACATCGACTTCAATCAATTCTGTCTGCGCGCATGCACGAATGCGAACTCGACGTACAGCTCGCAGTACATGTGCTGGCATGAGTTGGATGAGATGGGTTGTGAGTATGTCATGCCGGGAACATACCACCCGCCTGGTACCTTGTGCGTTTCGTCTCTGCCTCTGCTCACCTATTCTCATCCAACTCCTTTTTAGCGAAACCTGCGATGTGGACGTTGCGAACCCCCCCGGCTGGTACCCGACATCCTGGTCTAATGGCGTTCCTGTTTCCTTCTCCACATTTGCGCAGTACTTCGAGGGTGCTTACACTGGTGGTGATGGTCTCCCGACGTCCTACACGGTCGGCACGACTGTAACTCCGACAGCGCCGTTCTTCACACCCTCTTCTTCGAACTGTGTATCGCAGGCCACCGTTGGAAACGGACTTGCCGCCGACCTCGTCACTGCCGGTGCATCTGGCACGGCTCCCCCACCCGGCTTCTCGTCCCAGGCTAACGCCCCGCCGACGAGCGTTCCCATCTCTAGCTCCAGCTTAAGCTCTAGCGCCAGCGCCAGCGCACTGGCAGCTGTGACGCCTGCTGTCAGCACCAGCACCAGCGTCTCCACTGTCCTGAAAACCACATCGAAGAGCACCGCGAGTGTTGCCAGCCCGACCGTCGGCGGGAATGCCGGTGCTGCTGCTGGAGGTGCTGTCCCCGTTGTATCTTCGCCAGCCGCTCCTTCTGTCAGCGGAACCAGCAACGCCCGCCGTGCCGCTGGGGACAACCAGCTCATCGGTGCTGCGATCGTTAGCTTTGTTGCCTTGGTAGGATCGGTCCTGCTTCTCCATTGATTTTTAGGTGAACTGCTATCCTCTGGTACTTACTGATCTGACTCGCATGGACTTTGATAAACTTGCCTGTCTTGCCGCTCTTTACTTCACATTCTTTACTTGCTTACTCACTGATTTGGTTAATCGTCACAATTGAAAGGTGTTTGTTTGGGGAATCTTCACTCGGCCGCCTCGTCTTAATTGTCTTTATTGAGTGGGTGAAGACTTCGATAGCAGTGATCATGGGTGAATGTCGTCGTGTGCTGCGAAGCTTCCGGGCCCGGGAATCATACGGGAAACATCATTCGGCGGCGGCGGCCTGAGTAGACACAGCGCTGGACGCGCAGATCATTCGGGCCACGGGTACATCATGCGGACATTCCGTGTGCTTTCCCCCGCACAGAAAAGACCAGAAAACGTCAAGTAAAGGTCATCAGGCATTACAGAGCGTCGATGCTTGTCTCCCAGTCCGATAGGTCGTCCCCTCGTAAGAGCTGCCTTCTGGCTCAAAAGGGTCGTATAGAAGACGAAGATTTTCATCGTCGATCAGCTCGTTGTTTACGACAGCCATGGGGAGTGCTGAACGTGGCTTGGAGACGAGTGCAAAGACTATCAGTCCCATCAGCAATTTGACAGATGGCAGCTGCCGTAGCCACGCAGCCGAATGTTCTTCTGTATCTGCGAAACAACAAGCCATCAATCTAGAAGTAAACCGGACTCGAGGCTCATGATCACCGCGTCAACCCAGCCGTAACTTCGCTCTCCCCTCCCCATCCTCCGCTCGGCATCCATCTGTCTCGTTCCCGTCGATGCCCAGCAACATTGAGCGACCGTATAGCAGAGCTGAGACCACGCCCTTCCGTGCAGGTGCTGGGATCAGGACCAGGGTTGACTCGGGCAGTTCATTCAGGGAGCCCATCTATAGGGAGAGCGCTATCGCTCCCAGTTATGTCCCGAACACTTACGTCCCGAACTACTCTCGTGTCTCGAGCTTCAGGTGCGTCAACCTCCGTCTAGACAAGTGACAGATTCTGACACCTAGTGGCACCTCAGGTCCCCAGAGATGGAGGTGCTGCTCTACTCACCAGAAGTTTCGTCAATGGAAATCGCCGCCTGGCCGGGGAGGACACGCGTCGTGCCTGCGTACGCGGAGCAGGACATCGTCACGGGCAAGGTCCTCTTGAATCGCAGCTGTCGAGCGGGACGGCTCACACTCACGGTATGTTTCGGGCCCGTATGCGCGTCGTCATTGCCCTGCGCTGATCATTCCTGTGTTCGCCCAGCTCTCTGGTACCTTCACTTCCATCCCGGGGGTAAAGAACGTGGACAAGCTGGTGTCGAATTCCGCTCCGGCCCAGAAGAAACGGCTCTTTTTCTCTACTTCCAAAGTCATCGACGTCATCTCAGAGTCGCGTGGAAGTACTCTTCTCCGACAGAGTCGAGCGGTGGAAGCGGAGACGCGCACATTCCCATTTGCATTCGACCTGGGAAAATGCCAGAAGCCGGGACACCTTTTACCCGCATCGTTCTGCTCGTCGCTGGCTGCGTCCATGGTGACCGAGGTGTCGTACGAGCTTTGTGTATATTGGGAGCCGTCCAAAGCGACGTTACCCATCGCTCAGTACGTCTATTTCTGTTTGCAATGCCATCCGCTGATCGCTTCATGACTCTAGGTTGAGCATTCCATTCCTTCTACAGCGAGAACCAGAATTTCAATCAGAAAATGCTCCGCCACCGAATTCTTGGATCGAAATCCCTCTCAAATCTCACCGACCCGTTCCGGTCAAGTGCGCGGTGAGTACGGAAGACCATCATCTTCGTTTTCCAGGCGACTTCTCGATCTGATGTATCTGTTTCATGGACAGGTTACCCTGCCAACCTCCTTGAACTTTTCCCGGTCGTCGAACATACCCTTCTTTGTGGTATTTACGACCTCTCCACGTTCATCTCATCTCGCACGTGAGATCGCTACGGATGCGACCGTGTCGGTGACGCTTACGAGCGAGTTCTTCTGCGCCGACGACCCTGGGCTGGCAGGACCTTCGATGGCCCCGACGCACGCCCGCGACTCCAGCTCGGGCACAGAGCCGGGGACCTTCCAGAGCGAGTCCAGCAGCATGATGTCCGGCGCCGACTCGCGCTCGTCGCGCTTCATCAAGCGAATCCGATCCTCCGCATCGTTGTTCTCGTCGTCCAACTCGTCGTACTCGACCGCAGAGTCGCAGACAAGCACCATGATGAGCACGAAAACTAAGACACGGTCGAGGATGGGCTCGGCGAAAGGACCTGTCAGGGTTTCGAAACCTCTTCCTCCGATACCCGACGGGCCGGACACGCAACCGACGACGATGTACAATGCGATCTCCATTGGATTTCCGAAGAGGCCGAGGCATCGGCTGAGTGAGGGAAAAGCCCACCCATCACTGGATGCGCAGCGGTCGTTGCCAGATGGACTTTTCAAGGATAAAATCCCCCTCGCTGCGGATATGTTGCCGAGCTTCAACTGGGGCGGCGTGTCGCTCAAGGTTAGTTTCTTCTCTCGATTCCTCCATCCCTGCGTCCTGCTGACTTACTTGATTAGTATTTCTTCGAGGTATCAGTTTTGGTTGGCCAAGATGAGCTGCAGGCTAAAATTCTGTTGCGCATCACATAATGCCCGTTGACTGAGCATGATATGTATAATTTATTTATTTTCGTCTCGCCATGCCTATTTAATCATGTAGTAATCCGTTGTCTATCAAGTACACCCGGCTTGTTTGGGCCAGGAGGACTGGCTACATAGTTAACACCTTCGTTGCTGAAATCAAAACTTGGATAAGGGATGAATGGGCAACGGATCAGGACCTTGGATTTATTCTTAGCGTAGACAAACAACACGGCATCCGCAGATCGTGGTCTATCGCGACTTTCAATGAGACCGAAAGTGAAGGTTTGGTCGCTCAGATGCGGCCAAACATCATCTGATCTAAAAACGATGAGCACACTGTCTATCATACAACCGGAGCAGACCGGACATTCTTCGACGAAGGCATGGGGAGTGCTCAGCGCGCTGCCCCCCTCGACGGATTACCGTGTCGAATCTCCGTTGCTTGTTGTGTGTGCTGATTCCAAGTGAGGAGATCAGTGGTGATCGTTCGGCATCGCCCGAGATTTGCTCGTTCGGCCAAGAGATGGACAGTCGAGGAAAGCAATGCGGGGAAGTTGACACTAAGGCAAGTCTTTACAATTATAGATATCTTGGCCGGATTTGGAATGGGTATAGTCTGACTAGGTACAGTCCGTTATGCATTAAAATATCATAATCCACATTTCCATGTGCTTTTGTTGTTGGACGACTCTGTTGATCATGACTTTGAAATCCAAACTGAGAATTTTCTGACAGCAGAGGACAAGACCGAAAAGACTCATTTCCGTGATTTTTTTTTACTTTCTTGCGGCTGCAGAAAATCTCATTCGCAAAATGGGATTGCGCATCGTCAAATATTCACCAACTTGATCTCTGCTGCGGGTGCCAGTCGCTATTGAATCTGTGCGTGCACCGGTCGAGAAGGCCGCAAAATGGAGGCACATAATCATCAGCCTAAAGATGCAGTTATTTCACCCAACCGAATATTAATATCAGGAAAATGCTGATGATATGTTACTTCACTGTGCTTCGTTCAGGCAACATCTGGGCAGTTTCAGACCTGATAACTTTTGTTCCGACTGACTGGAGAGTCGCTCAGAACGAGATACTTTCTACACATTTGACGCTGAACGCGGGGGAGTGGAAACCGCCGACGTTTGAAATTACCGAGAGTGCTGGGCTTCTTCTGATTATACTATAATAGAGTTCTCGGCGGAAACCCCCATCTTTGTTATCGCGGATGTATCATGCGCGTGTGCGATCGGCGTCGGGCCGCATCGCCACGTGAGTTTTCAATCTCGGTCTCTCGGACGCTTTAATCCTTTTATTGCTTCCTCTGGGACGCGGTTCTTCGCACGGGTCCGAAGCGGCGCTCTGCCTCTAATAGACCGGGCGAGTTCACCGACTGCGGTAGTTTCAGGCTCGGCACACGGCGGATTATTTGTCTCGTGTCGCTGCATTTTAGAGCGGTAGTCCAGACTCTGTTGTGAGTTACCCGACTGATGGCCGATTTTCAGGTGATCGTACCTCGAGGTACCACAGCGACGAGCTCGGCGGTGTCCGGTTACGCGAAGTTGCTCGCGTCCTTTTGAGGTTTTGGCGTTTTGGAAATCGCATGCGCTTCGCCCTTCCTCTTCTTCCACCCACGCCACCATGTCGTCGAATTTGAAGCCTGTCATCTTCCGAATCGTGTAATGCTCTTCCCTCGACAGGTCATTCGCGGTCGCTGATTGGGCTCGGGATCACAGTTCATTCAGTCTGGCCGGAGGCGACATCTTGCAGACGATCCCGCAAACACTGGCGCTTTACCACAAGCAATGGGTCAACCGGTCGCTCAGTATTGCTTGTGTTGCATACGCCACGGCGCGCTACATGACGCTCATTTCGCTCATCACAAACGGGATCGGTGCGAAACTCAGACTGTCAATGGCGACAGCGCGTGAACAAGCTCTGCAGGCTTCTTCAGTACCGACTTCACTCTCCAGACATGCAAGCCGTTCTACATGGTGCCCAATATCACAGCTAGTTCGTGGACGAGCTCTTTTGACGGGAGAAGAGATTTTTACTTGGCTCGCAGTGATTGCAGGGATGGCCGTGCAGATCTTGGTGTTTTTAAGGTGCGTGACCTGGCCTTCTCTTGTGTGCTCCGCTGTATCATCTTCAGAACATACGCCATCTCCGGACGGTCTCCGCTGATCCTCTACGGCCTGGGCGGGCTTCTCTTACTTGGTTTCCCAGTGCGTGTCTGCAATTGTCCTGCGAGCGCTGATTGACTGATGCTGTCATAGGTGCAAATGTTCGGAATAGTCTATCATCGGGTGGTAGGCCCTCGCTGTCTTCTCGTGCTTCCTCGCGCTCACCAGATCGTCTCTCCCTAGCCTGAAGTCACAGGGGTGAGTCTGCCATCTATACGTTCTCCGCCGCTGCTGATCTCGACTTCAAGGGCGAGTGCGTCCGCATGCTTTTAGGAAATCTCGCATTCGGACGCTAACCGTATCTTCAGATGTAAAGGCAAGGTGTTTAATGAGGTGCGCCCCTTGCTCAGCCTGTTGATGATGTCGTAAACTCACTGTCTTCTCCAGACCGACTGGAATATCGTGTTCGTGCACAAAACTCTTCATTATCGTTTTTCTGATCCCCTGCTCTCTACAGATATTACAGCGCGCACATGGTTTACGATGTAATTGCATGTGCAGTCGGAACTTACTACCTGATCGCTTCTTCGCGGATCAGTGGAAGCTTGTGAGTAGCAGTCCCAGGCTTTTTTCGAGCTCTAATTCTCGGCAGCAACATGTCTGCCTTCATCCGTCGCGTGCTAAGGAACGGTCTTCTATACACCATTGCCGTTTTCGTTGCCAACCTGTAAGTTCCCGAATTATTTCCGACCCAGCACTCATCGGCACCCAGATGGGTCGTTCTAGAACTGAGCGCGGTTCTGAGGACCGGTGTTGGTGCGACCCTGCCTCTGGCTGTCGTTCTCATCGGTGCGTCTCTCGCCAGTACAATTTTCCAGATCCCTTGCTAATTTCATCATCGTGTATCAGCCGCGCAGCACCTGATCCTCAGCACCCAACGTGGAACACGAGACATGACCAGCTCCCACGAGTACTCCGGCCCCAGCACCCGCCGCGGTGCCGCCTTGAATGCTCGCGCTCGACGCATGCCAGGCGAGCGCACGCTCGGCGAAGTCGAGATGCAGGCGACCAAAATATACGTGGTCTCCGAGACATACGACGACCGAGAGCCCGCTCCGGCCGATCGCAAGCGCGGACTGCACGAGACGGACTCCTCTGCGTCCGACCGCAGCGAGCGGGCCGGCATCAAAATGGTGGCTCAGTAGATCCACTGCACACACGCTCGTTTTGTTCTCAGCTAGATAGATTGGTTATCGTTTTGCTCTAGTACTACCGGTGTGTACTATTTGTGTTTTTATTTACTGTATGGACCCCTTGTAATTGATGAGATGTCTTCGCAGAGGGTGCTGGACAAGCCTCCTGCGTCAAGTAGAACATTCTGCATAAGTTTTCGGTGCATTGGATGCGAAAGGGCCCCAAGTGACGACCATGGGGACAGAAAAGGCATGGACCATCAATGTAGATGAAATTGGAGATCATGATATCCTTGACGATTTCAAATGAATCGGTCTGCGACGACTAGGACTCTGAGGGCTACCAATGGCTATCCAGTTCTAGACTCGAATTCAGTCCCTATGGTGACAGGTCAAGATGATGATTGTGTGTTTCCCTTTTGGCTAGACAACTGGCTGAATATCTATTGCCAGTGTAATCGATCGACAGATGATCGATTGATTTCTCATCAATGCATCTTTTGTCTTCCCCAGCCCTTGTACTGTTCAGCAGGCAAGGAGAGTATACACAGCGGCGGGATTACTCTCGGAGAGACTGGGATAAGCACATTTCAGGTCCTTTCACATATTCCCTTTGCTTGTTCCATCCATCGAAAGTTTCTGAATACTTTCAAAGATGGCGGATCTTGGGGGGCCGAGTACATCCGTCTTACCCTCTTACTCCACGGCGGACCAAATCAATGAGCATGCCACCTCTGGGGCCGGAGACTTGGAATCATGGATTGCTATAGAACCCCTCGCACGAAGCTCTGGTGCGTCTCTTTCGTCACGATCGTTCGTGTTCTTCCGGCACCGTCTGATTTCCTTCTAGAGCCTCTTTCAATCCCAGTTACGGTGGACCTGGCATCACCTCACAACGGCATCGCTCCACCACCTACGTTTCGACAGTCCCAGTTCGACGTCGTTCTCCGCCGGCAAAGGATGCGTCTTACCCCCACGGGTGCACCGAGACTCAAAACTACCACGTCGCGCTTTCTTAACCTTTCGAGCGACTTCGAATTCGCTGGCTGGGGCTCGTTCTCGCGTGTCAAGCTGTCAGCGGACGACCATGCACAGGGGGAAGATCGCTTAGCGCGCACGAGGAGCGCGAAGGTTCTGGGCCGATGGACGGGCACGGCGCTACCGGGCAATGCAGTACTCGGGAGCGTGTTCTACGCGTTGCCCGCTGTGGTCGCGGTCTGTGGTGTCTAGTGTGTGCATCATCGGCTCCTTGCGGGTCATGGCTGACCAGTCCTCAGTGCACCGATATCCCTGTTCGCGGCAACACTCACGCCGTTCATCTGGCGACCAATCATGGAGGAGCTGGGCTCTGCGCTGCCGATCTGCGGCGCCCCATATGCCTACCTGTAGGTGTCGACCTCCCTTGCGTGAAAATCTTACTGATGTACTCGCCGGCAGCTTGAACGTGACGCCCAAGTCCATTGCTCTGTTGGGCGCGGCTCTGATGCTTCTCGACTTCGCGTCAACATCCGTCGTATCCGCAAGTACGGCTGCTTCTTACGTTGCGGGTGAAGTCGCGCTGCCGTTTCCCGATTTCGTCGGGGCAGCTGTCGTGTTGCTGGTGTTCGCAGTCGTCAGCTTCACCGGTCTGAAGGAGAGCGCGCGGATCTCCTTCGTCGTGCTTGCTTTCCATATGTCCACGATGGCGGTCTTGTCGGTCTGCGCAGTGGTGTGTTGGGGACGACAGGGAAACGAGCAACTGCGGACGAATTGGGTGCACGGGCAGGCGAAAGATGGCTGGACAGTGGCGAGACAGCTGTTCAATGGGTTCTGTTTGGGCATGCTGGGTCTCACAGGAATCGAATGTACGAGTTTCTCCTTGCTCTTCCGATGTGGAGCTTATTGCTCAACAGGCGCACCGTCCTACATCGGACGGATGCGGCCGGGCGCGTATCCAGCTGTGCTGCGCAACCTCCATCTCCCAGCGGTGGTCCTGAATTCAGCTATGATTCTTCTCGTTTTCGCGGTCGTTCCAATGAACACTGTGCTCAGTGGTGCAAACGTGCTCAGTGTGCTGGCAGAGAAGGTCCTCCGGCGCATCCCCTTCTTACCCATCGTCAAATGACTGACAACTCCATAGTCTGCTGGGGTCTGGCTGCGGAAGTGGATCGTCGTCGATGCAATAGTCGTGCTTTGCGGTGGAGTCCTCACAGGCGAGTTCTTTCCGAGCTCTCGTGCGCGTGCGCCAACCTGTTTGCAGGCATTTTGAGTGCATGTGAATTGTTCGAACAGCTCTCGCACGACAGAATCCTTCCTCGAATCTTCCAGAACGCTCTCCCATTCACCGGCGCACCATACGTTTCGATCGTAGTCTTCACGGCGGTGAATGCGGCCTTGTATGCCTCATCGGGCGCCAGCCTTGCCATTGTCTCCAAGATGTATGTGGCTGCATGGTGCTTGTACGCTACTGACTGCTGGCACAGGTTCTCCCTTGTCTGGCTCACCGTGATGGGGCTGTTCCCTCTAGCCTTGTTGCTCCTGAGATTTAGCCGTGGAAGATTGGAGTGTGAACGTAGTGCCAAGCTTTGGATGATCATGCTCGCCTTCGCTGTGACGCTTGTCGTTTTCGCAGGCAACATCGCGATTGATCCTTCGATAGCCGGGTATGTAACTCCGCTCTCTTTGATTCTTCACTGAGATGTCCGTCGAAGCTACTTTGCGGCCTATCTGGTTGGCGTGCTGCTTGCATTTGGAGGCGCGCAGAACCACGTATCGATCCTTCGGGCATTGTATTGGCTGTACGACCAGTATCCATGGTTGCACATGTGGCCGAGGACCCAGGCCTGGGGGCCCTCCGTGGTGCGATGGATCCAAGCACTGAAGAAACAGCCCGTCTGCGTGTTGGTCAAAACGGACGAGATCAATCGGCTGCTGCATCTGTTGCTGTACGTGAGGGAAAACGAGCAGACTTCGTGCGTGAAGCTCGTGCATTTCTGTGACGAAGAGACCGGGGTTCCTTCGGAGCTGGAAGCTAATGCGAAGAGTGAGTGGTGTCGACTGCGCACATGGGAAATGACTGACTTACCGATACAGTTCTCGACGAAGCGTTCCCGGAAATCACCATTGATCTTGTGAGTTTCCCGCCTCGTCCGCATGTGGAAGCCTCATTTCCCTGCAGATTCTTGTTTCTGGCGCTTTCTCTCCATCGAACGTCGGCGCTCTAGCCCATCGCCTGCAGATTCCGACTGCGCTCATGTTCATCAGCTGCCCCGGGCCCAAGTTTCCGTATTCTGTAGCTGATTTTGGCACGCGTATCATTTCTCTGTAGTGATTCCATTCAGCGAGATCAGAAAAGTGTTCGAACAGAGCAATCCACCTTTTATCGAGTGCATATCACGAGGTTGCTGAACTGAGCCGTCCTCAGCGTTTCTCAGCGCATACACAACATGTCGACCTCTCGGCATCGAGTTTTCACGAAGCCACTGAGCCCAATTCGATTGCGGTAGCCCAATCCCTGATTGTTCATGATGCTCTCGTGGTGAAGTCGCACCGACTGGCGGTCAGGAACGCAGGCCGCAAACTTGCGGTGAGGAGCAGGTTGAGACTCAGAGCATCGCACCAATGCCCTCTCGGTTAGGAAGCAGACGCTTTAATTCTGATTTGTCGACGGGCAAGGACGGCGAGTGACACTGCAGCCCTTCGAGCGATGCAGGACAGGAAGAGATGTGACAACACTGTCATCTTCAGTGTCACATCAGACGCGGTCACATGATAGCTTTATTCCCAAATGAGTCTAGCTCGGGCTTACAGCGCTTGCGTGAGATGGATTTCTATTCCTTTGGGTTTGGTTCATCATGCTCCGTCATCCGGAACAATTACTCGCGTGTCTCGATTGTAGTGATTGATCCCTGATATGACATCGAGGTCTGACAGCGCACTCACCGCGAGAAACTGATTTGATTGGAATGAGATAGCCATGAGTGATGCACAAGAAAGAGGATGGCGAAAGGGAGAGGTGGAGGAGGAAGCAGGCGTCTGCTGACCAGTTTTCATCTCGAAGAGGTCGAAGCACCGGCCAGTCTGGTCCCCTAATTCTTACTGTGATGCTTCGTTGACCCACGGAACTCACACGGAACTATAAGGACAGTCGGGGGCCGTTGACTAGCGAGAAAAAAACAATTATTACATGATGCTGCTCGCGGCACTTGGGAAACCCGAGTTCTTGGTACCCGGACTGTGTCATACCGCTCCCGTGAGCAGGCTCGGTACCGCGGCGTTCAAGGCTCTTCCAGGAATGTGAGCGCGAGTTTTGTCCCTCTTCTCGCGCAATATCAGCGCCGGCGATGATATCGGTCAGGAAGCAACTGCTGGCCAGACTCAGGCACTAAATGCGGAGTTGAATTTATCCGGGGCCATCTCTCTCGGAGGTTGGTGTTACGTGTGCACAACATGTTGAAGCTTGTTTGTATTAGCGACTATCACAGTATGTAGACATGACATCATAAGTAGTATTCTTAGATTACTTTGGCTCGCTCCACAATGACCTCATACCTGACCTCATTATTGCGTCATCCATTACTCATCTATGATATCATTACTCCACTATGACATCATGATATCTGCTCCAGACTGGTATATAAACCTAGTACTATACGCTCCATATCCTCAGCTCCTGTGTCTCTACACTCGCTGAGGTATGCATTCTCTCTTACGATCTAATGACCTTACTTATGACTTGTACCATAGACTCTGTCTTCTAGGTACAGCTAATGATATAGCTCCTGTGTCTCTACACTCGCTGAGACTCTGTCTTCTAGGTGATCGCTACTGGTCGTATCTCCACTGCGCGGTATTGTCTGCGACAGGTTATGGGCCCCGCCTGAACCACTAGCCCAGATCAAGAAACATCGAACTACTCCCTTTGCTAAGGCGAGTATCTTTCACTCGTTCAGCCCTTCTAGAGCGCCGTCTTTGTGCGCTCGTCCCACTTGCTGGATGTCGGTCCTCGCATTTGTGCTCTCACCCTCAAGGGGTTACGCGAGCGGCGTCAGGGAGTCATTCAGTTGGCAGACGCGCCGTTAGCTATTCCGTCCATGATTGCTCGCGCGCGTTTTACGTTACATCTTTTTATTGTACAGCGGACATACCCACCAGGCACTGGTCCTTTGGTCAATCCCACTCCTGAACCTTGCGCGAAGCGCCTAGGTGGTGTGGTAGCTCTCAACAGCTGCTGGAGGTCGATCCCTCCGCCAGGCAAAACAATCCTTCGGGGTTGACTCGCATTCCTCACAAGGGACCCTGCGGGCTGGTGACACTACGAGGATTCATGCAATGACGCTCTGCGTGTATGCATGTCTTTAAAAGGGAGAAGATGGGCGGCCAAACCCGGTGCTTGGGACGGCCTTGGGCACGTGTCCCTTGGCCAGTGACGGACTGCGAGGGCAGTAATCACCGTCGGGTACTGCCGCCGCTGACGTATATAGTTACGTTACTTTGATACAAATATGGGCACTTACTATACCGCTTTATTTCGTTATCATTCCCCGCGCGTATATGGGCATCATGGATGGGATGGGGACGCTTGGTCGTTCTCGTTTCAGAGATTTGGCACTCGGGATTTTGTTTCTTGGTCTGCAGAGAATCTGGGGCTGACTTTGTCGCTCTAGTCATCTCTATCACCCTGTCATCACCAGACGACCCTCCCGTTGGGGTTATCTTATTTCCTGTTGTCCGCTGGGCTCAGGGACCTTCTTACATTCCTCTCCAAGACGCCGATTGGAGGGATCTATACGATCTTGGAGAACACGATAACGAAGAGTTCTTCCATCACCAAGAGAATTGGACTCCAGAACTTCGATCTCTATTCGGTGATCCTCCCTATATCGAATTCCCCTCTCTTCACTACCAAACCGCCGACGTTATCGAGTATCTCCCCACCATGTCGGGAATCGAGAAACTCAACAACTCCATTCTGAGTGTCTTCGATGGCACCAATTGGAATACGTGGTCGGACAACTACATGAGCATCTGCATGCATCAGGGCACCTGGGGAGTGGTTAAACCCACTCATATTATGGTTAACGGCACATCTACCTCGAACCCTGGTTCTATGGAGCGTCCTGGAACGGCTGGTGACAGCCAGTATCAATGGGACGTTGCCAATGAAAAGGCACTGGGTCTTGCGCGGGTTTATATCACCCAGAATCTGCGCAAGGGAATCTTTATGGACGGTCAGCGGGAGCGCACTGCGCGTGAGGTTTTTGCGAAGATGGCGACGGATTATGGCCAACCAAATGCCATCGATGCTTTCGTCGAGTACCGCCTCCTGAACACCACCACCTTCCACGGTGGTGATACCATTGAAAAGCAAATCATGGAAATGGAGACTCGTCGTCGCCAGTGTTCGGAAGGAGGAATCGAGATCCCCGACTACCTCTTCGCAACTCTAATGCTCGCCGCCTTGCCCGCTTCCAGCAGAGGTTTTGTCACCTCTTACCTGGCCAATCGTCCTATCGCTTCTCTGAACCCAGTCGATGTCAAGAACAGCGTCATAGGGAATATCAAGATCGAGAACCTCGACACGACGTCGAACTCGAAGATTTCGACCGTTCCGTCCCTTGCCACCCGCTGCACTCATTGCAACAAGTCTGGTCACGTTGCGGCATCCTGCTACAAGAAGTATCCCAACCTCAAGCCGACTGGTCAATCTTCTGACAAAGGCAAGGGGAAGCAGGATGAGGGGAAGAAGAAAAAGAAGAAGGAAAAGAAGAGCGGTGATGGTACTAGCGCTGTAAAAGAAGTTGTAGCCGCTCCCGCGGTTGCAGCTGCCTCCAATGGAATGCACATTTCGTCCTATCTCATGAGTGACTCCCTCAAACACATCGATGATGGAATTTTTGTTGAAGAAATGGGAGACGACTCCAAAATTCGTTTTCTATGGGACTCGGGTTGTACGCATCATATGACAAACACCCGATCTGATCTTCACAACATCAGACCTATCGACACCTATGTAATCGTTGGGTCGGGAGCTCGCTTCAAGAATGAAGCCGTTGGAGATATTGTGTTGCGGGGTCATACTAGTAGTGGCATCGACTACACCTTCACGCTGAAGGATGTCATCTACAACCCGCACATAAGAGGGCGTTACCTTTCTGGGTATGCGCTCGATCAGGCTGGTTACTACACCGTGGTTGGTGACAACAAGGCAATCCTAGTCACCAAGGATTGGCTCAACAAGGGAAAAGCGCATAGGGATGTCTTGATGACCTTTAAAGCAAGCAATCGCTGCTACTGGTACTACCCCGAGGAGCTCGTGGCACCATCTGTGTCTGCATCTCACGAGTCTACCGCGCTCGCTTCCCTGGAAACTACCGATCGTGAATTGTGGCATAAGCGTTTTGGTCATGCGGCTCGGAGGACCCTTACTCACTTGCCGACACAAGTTGAAGGTGTTCCCCCCTTGCGACGCAATAAAGACCAGCGCGGCATGTGCGATGGATGTATGCTTGGAAAACAGCACAAGCATCCGTACCCTGCATCAGAGAAACGTGCTAGCAAACCCCTCGAGCTTATCCACACTGATTTGATGGGCCCCTGGCCTACTCAGTCGTTGGAAGGTTCACGCTACACAATTTCGTTCTACGACGATTTCTCGAGCTTTGGCATGATGGTGTTCATTAAATCAAAGGACCAAGCCTCTACTGCGATTAAAAACTTTGTTGCCCTTACAGAGCGTCAGCTTGGCACAAAAGTACTGGCCTTCCGGTCAGATCGTGGAGGCGAATATATGTCCGATGAACTCACAGCCTGGCTCAATGCACGTGGTATTATGCACCCTAAGTCCGCGCCACGCGAACCACAGCAAAATGGGAGGTCTGAACGTTGGAATCGCACAGCCTACGAGAAAGCGGAATGCATGCGCCTCGATGCCGGCCTATCCAAAGGCTTCTGGCAATGTGCTATGGATGCATCTGTCCACGTTCATAATAGACAACCTATGGCACGATTGGGATGGCGAACACCTGCGGAACTGTGGCTTGGAAAGAAGCCAGACGTCTCTTATTTCCGTGTGTTTGGATGCAAGGCGTCTCTCTATGTGGATGTTGAAAAACGCCCGAAAGGTTTGGAGCATGGACGCCCCGACCACATCTTCGTTGGATACGAACGAGAGACAAAAGCTTGGAAAGTGTGGGATCCGAATCAACGCAAGATACGAGTCTCTTCAAATGTTGAGTTCGATGAGCGAGTATTCCCTGCCAAGTCCAAGCTAGTCACCGGCAATGTGTCCTCTGGACCGGAGCCGTTCACACCATTCGAGGAAACCTTCCCTGACCTTATCAATAATCCTGCGCCTGCAACGCCTTATGCAAGTGTACCACCCCCTGCTCTTCCACCGCCCCCGGCACCCCTCGCGCAACAAGGTCCTGTCACGGGATCGCGAGAAGTACCCCTAATGCCTGGCCCGATAGACGATCGCCCGATTGCACATCGCCGCCCTCGTCGAAATAAGCCCCGCATTTTGCCGGATGGAACTACGTATCAGAGGCCTAGCAGCATTGAGTCTATGTTGTCAGCTGCCCAAGCTGAGCATGACTTGCCTCAGAACGTGCGGGACGTAGCAAAGAGCCCGGATGCACTCAAGTGGGAGCGCGCAATGCGCGAAGAACTGGACTCTCTCGAGGAAAACTGTACTTGGGATTTGACCAACCTTCCACGCGGTCGAAAGACTGTCAAATGCAGATGGGTGTTTAGCAGGAAGCGTGACGGTCGTTTCAAAGCACGACTTGTTGCCAAGGGATTTACTCAGGTTCATGGGTTTGACTATGATGAGACCTTCTCGCCAGTATTGCGCTATGAATCTCTGCGCATACTTATGGCTCTGGCTGCTCTCGAAGATTGGGAGATTCATGCCATGGATGTCAAAACGGCATTCCTAAACGGGGATCTGGAGGAAGAAATCTATATGGAACTTCCGGAATTACCCAAAGGTTTCTCGTCATGGCCAAAAGAAAAGGTGGCACGCCTTCGTAAATCACTCTATGGGTTGAAACAGGCGTCTCGTCAGTGGAATATCAAAATCCACAATGCCCTCCTCGAACTTGGTTTTGCTCGGACATACTCCGACGCCGGTGTCTACACATATCGCCAACAAATGGGAGATACGGTCATCATCTTGGTGCTGTATGTTGACGATATGCTCATTATGGGCAACAATCTGCCGGAGATAGCGCGGATCAAATCATTGCTCGCGAACCGCTTCAAAATGACAGATCTTGGTCCTGCAAAGGATTTCCTTGGTCTGAACATAGTTCGTGATCGCAAAGCGCGTAAAATCTGGATCGATCAGGCTTCCTATATCGAAGGAGTTCTAGAACGATTCCGGATGTCTTCGTGTAAAGAAGCTCGTACTCCCCTGCCTTCCGGCATCGTGCTCGAGAAGCATGATGGAGAAGTTGATGAAGACCGTCGTACCCGATACCAGCAACTGATTGGCAGCCTTCTATACGCCATGCTTGGTACTCGCCCCGACATTGCCTATGCAGTCATCCGTCTATCAAAGTTCAACAGCAACCCGTCAGAACATCATTGGAACATGGCAAAATACATACTCCGGTACCTTCAGGGCACCAAAACTACCAACTTTGCTATGATGGTTCCACTGGCGCAGGCCTTATCGGTTATTCCGATGCTGATTGGGCGGAGAACAAAGACGACAGGCATTCAACCACGGGATATTCCTTCTTCATCGCCGGTTGTGCAGTGACCTGGGTTTCTAGACGCCAACCCACGGTCGCTTTGTCCTCAACAGAGGCCGAATACATGGCTCTGAGCGATGCTACGCGCCAGATTGCCTGGATCCGCACTTTGTTGACTGAGCTCGGATATGACTTGCCATCCACGCCTCTTTGTGTTGATAACCAAGGCGCTATTTTCATGGCAGTAAATCCAGTTCATGATAGGAGGACGAAGCACATCGACATCCGCTATCACTTCGTACGAGAATCCGTCGAAGCTGGCAATGTCCAACTTTACCATGTGCCGACTGATGCGATGATCTCAGACACGCTCACAAAGTCTTTGGCATGGGTGAAGTTCCAACAACATCGGCTGTCTTTGGGTCTTCGTGATCCGACTGTTTAGTCGAGTGGGAGTGTTGAAGCTTGTTTGTATTAGCGACTATCACAGTATGTAGACATGACATCATAAGTAGTATTCTTAGATTACTTTGGCTCGCTCCACAATGACCTCATACCTGACCTCATTATTGCGTCATCCATTACTCATCTATGATATCATTACTCCACTATGACATCATGATATCTGCTCCAGACTGGTATATAAACCTAGTACTATACGCTCCATATCCTCAGCTCCTGTGTCTCTACACTCGCTGAGGTATGCATTCTCTCTTACGATCTAATGACCTTACTTATGACTTGTACCATAGACTCTGTCTTCTAGGTACAGCTAATGATATAGCTCCTGTGTCTCTACACTCGCTGAGACTCTGTCTTCTAGGTGATCGCTACTGGTCGTATCTCCACTGCGCGGTATTGTCTGCGACACAACAAACATTCAGCCCGCGGAGCTGTGAGTAGTTGGGAATATTATACGCTATCGATGTTTTCAGTAGACTCACTGCTCAACTGGAACGATCTCCCACCCACTGCAAGAATGACCTACAGCTGAGTACTTGAACAGGTCAAAAGCACAGTTTCGACGTCGGCGAACGGATTGTAGATCTGGGCCCTCGATTGAGTGGCAGAACAGAAGTCAGCGCGGGGATCTTTTTGTGACCTACACCGCCCGAAGGTAGCCGTTGAATAAAAATACTTGACTCAGCGATTCTTGTTAGGAGCTGAGTGATACTGCGGGAGACAAGAGCTGGAACGACAGATTTCGGAAGGAGATACATGACCGTTCCCGACAATCGGGTTCCCAGCCAGCGGAGGTTTGATAAGCGGCGGAGTCAACACCGATTCTGGCAAAGGAAGCTCGCTGAAGTTGCTCACTTGACACGGATTCGCAGAAGAAGCTCATCCGGTCCATGTGCAAGCCGAAACAACAAACCTGGTCGTGTCCGTGGTCGCTCCTCGGCGAGATCAGAGGCAGTGCAGCAGTAATGACCGCTCATGTTTTGTCAATGTTTTGTTCACTATCATTAGCGAGTACTCGATGCAGCGGAAAATTTTCCTACGCGATTGAGACTACCCGTTGGAGCTTGGACCGGTCATTCCGGAGTTGAACTGTCGAACTTGGACGACGGAGGACCAAAAGAAATCATGTAAACTAAATCACGATCGATCGGTCTGCTATCACGCGGTCCAGACCTGCGGCTTACATTGCGTCAGCACCGGCCACGCAAAGGCACGGTCGGTGTCCCTGCCTGTGCGCTGTGAATCTGTCATGTTTTTCTTGGCACCGGCTATGCAAGGTCGACGGTAACATCCGAATTTAGTGTGGGAAGAATGAACATTCTATAGACGGCCAGAATGAGTCGCATCAGCGCAAAAGGGACGATGTGCATCTCTCTTCGCTCTAACTTGGTAAGGATGCATCGGCGATGTTTCAGAGTCTGGGAATGTCAGATGTCGTTCGCTACCCATGGTTGACGTTTCTCCCTTCGGCGACCTCTGCTGTTTTGGGCGCTGTTCGAATCTGTACGCCAAAGCTTTCAGTCATCCTCACTTCCGTGCAGCCCCATGCAGATGTTGATTTTCATTCTCGACTTCTTGCAGGAGACGGATTTTCACGGGTTGATGGCTGCTTTGTCGAAGCAGTATAAATGTAGGCCACAAACTCACTGGGGAGCCCAACACCGATCCTGGTGTTTCTTCCGCCGTAAATCCCTCTCAAGATGTTCACTTCTTGGACCCTTCTCTCCCTGGCTGCGTCAGTTCGTCTGACCGCTGGGTTAGCGATTGGGCCCGTTGGTTCATTCGTCGTCGCCAACAAGACCATTGCTCCTGACGGTGTCCCTCGCGCTGCCGTCCTTGCTGGGGGAACATTCCCTGGTCCCCTCGTCAGGGGACGCATCGGGGACAACTTCCGGCTCACGGTCATCGATCAGCAAAAGGACATTCGGATGCTCGAACCGACCTCCATTGTGAGCGGAGCAGACGTTTGTCGCGACTCGCATTGTTGATTGTGATTGTTCGCGCAGCATTGGCATGGATTGTTCCAGAATGGGACCAACTACATGGACGGGCCGTCGTTCATCAATCAGTGTCCGATCTCGCCCGGGAACTCGTTCACATATGATTTCACTTCCCAACAATCTGGGTGAGCATTTTCTTTTTACCGAAGTTTCGGTTCCATTCTGACTGCGTTCGATTCAGAACATTCTGGTATCACTCACACCTCGCCACTCAGTACTGCGATGGTCTGCGTGGCGCGATGGTCATCTACGATCCCAAGGACGCATACCTCCATGCTTACGACGTCGACGACGAGTCGACAGTGATCACCTTGAGCGACTGGTACAACGTCTTTGCAGAGACTGTGGTCGGTGTCGCGTGAGTGCAAGGATTGGCTCGAATTCCTCCATAATATTCTGATGCCTCCATTGGACAGGACCCCGTCATCTATGCTCATCAACGGCCTTGGACGTACCGCTGCCACAGTCTCCAACACGACTCTGGCTGTGATCACCGTCAAAAGGGCTTGCGCTACCGCTTCCGTTTGGTCAACCTTGCTTGCGACTCCAACTACGTCTTCCAGATCGACGGACACAAGAACCTGACCATCATCGAAGCGGACGGGATCCTCCATCAGCCGTTGAGCGTTGATTCCATTCAAATTTACGCAGGTAAGGGCGATTCAGCAATTCCGTGCCTGCGAGCAGTCACCAAATGTCTCAAGCGCAACGTTATTCGTTCATCTTGACTGCCAATCAGCCCATCGGCAACTACTGGATTCGTGCGAACCCGAACAACGGCCCCACTGGTTTCGCCGGGGGTATCAACTCCGCGATTCTTCGCTGTATGTCTGCATCTCACGAGGGATCTGCGTGTCCCGTTCTGAGCATCATATTTCCAGATATCGGAGCGAACAATTCTGAACCAACAACTTCGCAAGACACGTCGGTCAATGGATTGGTCAATGAGGTAAACCTGCACCCGCTCGTTGACCCCGGTGCTCCCGGTGGTGCGTTCATTGGCGGTGCCGACGTACAGCTCAATCTAGCTTTGGCGTTTGATTTGGTGAGTTGAATGAGCTTCGATGCACCCACTTCGTCCTGAATGTCTGATAGACAACCTTCAAATTTACGATCAACGGCGTGGCATTCGTCCCACCTACTGTTCCCGTCCTGCTCCAAATTCTGTCAGGCGCACAGAACGCCCAGTCGCTGCTGCCAAACGGCTCAGTCTATACGCTCCCGCACTTTGCGTCGGTTGAGGTCACCTTAGCAGGAGGTGTGGTTGGTGGCGGCGTCAGTTTCTAGTTCATCATCCTCGTGGACTGAAAGCTGACCGAGTGAACAGCATCCCTTCCACTTGCACGGACACGCCTTCGATGTCATCCGGTCCGCCGGCAGCACCACATACAACTACGTCAACCCGGCTCGACGAGACGTCGTGAACATCGGAGGGGCAGGCGACAATGTTACCATCCGTTTCTTCACTGACAACCGCGGACGTGAGTCGACATTTGTGACTCATTGAACCACTAATGAATGATTCCACCAGCATGGTTCCTCCACTGCCACATCGACTGGCATCTGGAGGCTGGCTTTGCTATTGTGTTTGCTGAGGATGTGCCTGACTGGAAGTCGGAGCTGATCCCCACTGCCGAGTGGAACCAGCTGTGCCCCATCTACAACGCGCTTCCAGCCTCGATCACGTCCCTCGCGGCCTAATTATTTGAAATATGTAAAATATGTTTAACATTATCTCTTCATACTTGAATGATATCAGTTGGTTCGGTTAATTTTCTGTTTTTGAATCGATGGTACTCTTGAAGATGATCCCGAGGCTGACTTGAATTCCAACTGTGCATGTTGGTGTGACGGGCACGTGGCTGGTTGAACATCTATGCACGTGATTTCGGGAGTACATCTGCACCGAATGGATGGAAATTTTCTTGTATTTGTATTCACTCACAAAATAGTGCTTGTAATAAGGCTTTCATTGCGAAGGCACTCACACAATTTCCCCACAAACACAATATTCAGGTTTTTAGGTCCTGTGAGCATGACTGTCCATGAAGAATCAAGGGATGTGTGGAAACTGGAGGGTAACAAGGATAGGTGGTAACTGCTCCTGCCCCTGTGTCAGCAGGGCATGTTCAAATGACAAATGGGGCAATCTGGATGATGAATTGCAGTGTAGTTGATTGCAAGACTGAAATGTGACATTCTGCTTGGTTCCATCTAAACAACTGCAGAAAGCAGCAAGTTCCAGAGCCATAAAAGACAACCTGGGGTGGGAGTTTCCGAAACATTTGATTTAGTGTCCCATGGTTGATCGAATTATTGATTGTCAGATCTGGACCCATCTGGACCCATCTGGACTGGGATGAGAGGGCATGGCCCATTATGGGTGCAAGTAGATCATAACTAGCGCTTATTTTTCAACGAGTGTGCACTTGTAGTATACATGCAGTGGACTGTTTCTTGGATTGATTTCACTGTTTCAATTGAATCCAGAGCATTTTGGCAGAGAGCCTAGAGGCATATATTGTGAGGAGCATGTGCTGGCATTAGTGCTGTCCAAAATTATATACGGAAACAATATATCATCTGATATATTGTTTCATACTGATATGATACGGGCTCCAGGTGGTGCGCTGGATACAATATTCCTTGATATAATATGATATGATACTAATACATTATAATACGTGCCCACCATATCGTGATATATCACGATATCTTATTGTTTAATCTTATCTGATCCTGCAGATCTTTTGGGGAGATCTGGATTTGTCAGTCATCCGTGATCTGAAGAAGTGTGAGCGTGACCTAAAAAATTGACAGAACCTGTCAATCTGTCGACACAACTTCTCCCGCTTTTCCCGCAGCCATGGAAGCCTCGCTTGTCAAGCTCGCCGAAGCTATCTCTAGACTGCCAGATGGCCGCTTAGCTGGTGCGCGGACAGGGCCACTCGGACAACATCTCTGGGCCTCCCTCGACAACACCGGCACACCACGATATCCCGAGGATGAAGAGGGTCCATACAAAGCCTTCAATATTGGATGGGAACGCGCGTTTCGCATTCCTCCAGGCCGTGATTGCTCATCACTCTTCCCTCTTGTTTGCCAAGGGAAGTATGGGTTGATTTTGGCTCATAACTGGGCCAAGCATTACGCATCGTTGGTCCAAGACATGGATGTGAAGATGATCCAGCTTCGCGTAGATCAGCTTCTTGATTTGATTAGTGCTGCGTGAGTGTCATACGGATCCGGATTTAATGTGCTCACTCACTGTGATTTCTAGTTTGAAAGCGCACATATCAGACGTCTCAGAGAACCACAATCTGGGACACAGCAAAGACAGCGTCTTGCAGGAAGATGGAGATGCGACCGAAGCTGAGGTGCGAGTGCCCTCAGATTTGTGCTCTTGATCGAGTCTGATCAAATCAGCTTCCAACCGGTGAAAGCAAGAAGCGCAAGAAGAAGGATTCCGGGCAGGAGACTCACAAGGTCATTAATTTAGACGCACACGAACCCGCAACCGCTTCCCAAACCACCAAAAAACAGCGTAAAAAGCACCGCACCAAGGTATGTGGATACGGCTGATATTATTCGGGGATCCTTATGGTGGGTTCTAGTCCCCGGACGCGTCAAATGATGACACATCGAACGAGACGACACAGGCGCCAGCTAAAAAAGCACCAGCTAAAAAGAAGGCAGCTAAAAAGAAGACGGTTGTGGTGGACTCCGTGAGTGCCTCATTGATCATTGCTGGCGGACCATTGATGTCCTCGAAGTCATCCTCCAGCTCCGAGGACGAGGATGACAACAGTCCAGCTCGGACAAGCAACAAACTTACTTGGGCACTGTCCAATATCTCACTAAGGAAGCCAAGTCGGTGCAGAAGGGCGAGAAACGAGTGTGGAAGGTTTTCTGTCGGTATTGCAAGTGCGTCTTTAATCTTAGTCTCTATTCTTTGAAACTCACAACACTTTAGCAAGTATCGCACAACACTGCGCACCAAGGGTGTCCAGAGCTTTGCTGATGAGACCCTTCCGCTCTCAACTCCCAGCAACTGGATCTCACATGCTCTGGAATGCACGCGACACCCGGTTAATCAATCCTTCGAGACTTTTCAGTCAATCGCTCGCAACAGCGGCACTATGCCAGCTTCGGATGTCACCGCAAGCGACCAGACAAACAAGATCATGACCGCGTTTCTTCAGCGAGGCCGTGAGCAGCCTGAAAGCCAGTCAAAGGCCAAGGTCACGAAGCCTGGCTATCGCGAGCGTGTCGTTGTTGCTGCTGTCACTGACGACATGGTCTATTCTTTCACCGAGAAGCCCGGCATGCAGCGCTTACTTGAATACATACTTCCTGAGAATATTCCGGCCACAATCTCTCATCAAACTATCAGCCGTGATGTCGAATCGCTTCATAAAGCCTTGGCGAAAAAATTACATCTCATGCTGCAGGTATAGGTTCTATTTTTTTTTTGCTTCGTTACAAGTTCTAATTTATTCCTCAGGAAAACGATTCACAAATCAGCATTGCTTCCGACATTGTGACAACACGGGGAATGGTCCATTCATTTTGCGGTATTGTTGTGTCCTTCATCGATAAGGACTGGGTCCGCCACGAATATGTACTGGATCTGATCCCACTCAATGGCGATCATTCGGGGAAGACCGTCGGCCGACTAATCTACAAACACCTTCACCGTGCCGGGATTGTGACCAAAATGAGTGAGTCGAGTCAGCCTGGAGTTGTATCCTCACTTCACGGCTACTTACAGTTGCTTCCGCGGCCAACAATGCGTCAAGCAACGGTCCCATGAACGAGGAAGTTGTTCGTCGTTGCTGCAAGGCCCTTCCGGATTTTACCATGTCCTTGGAGACCCGGAATTTCCAGATCGGATGTGGGGGTCACGTAACAAACCTTGTTGCTCAGTATGTGTTTCCATGTCCACTGATTTTATCATTGATATCCTGACAGAAAAATCGACTCCGTTCTTGGACTCTGTGTGGCCCCCGAGGTCGAAGATCTCTATGATGAGATCCGTTCCGAACCACTCTTCTACGACATTGAACAGGATCCAGTAGCTCTCGAGGAACAGCGAGTGATGGAGCAGGAGACTATGGCGGGGGTTGATCCGGATGAGTGCGATAGCGAGGATGAGCAGATCGAGTTAGAGGATGAGTCTACATCTGAGCTCGAAAGCGAAGAGGAATGGGAGGATGAGGAGAACGGGACTGTCCGTGGAGCATCAAAGAAAGCGAAAAACAAGCGCGTTTTCACGCCAGTTGATAAGTTTTATTATTCACACACCTCTCACTGTACTGCATTGCTGACAGTCTTCTAGATTCATTCAGCAGCCGTTTACATTCTCTGTTCGGAAATTCGACGCAAAAAAGACCGTAGATTCATCCGTCGAAAGGTACAACGGAAGTACCGACACCTTGTATTTGTTCGAAGCATGCGGGTTCGCTGGAACACCCGTTTGGCTGAGCTCCGGCGGGCTTACCTGCTTCGAGCGGTGAGTCCTTGCTTGCACAAGCTATCCTGATCTTATTTTTTTAGGTGTTTGATTATTTCGTGGAGCGCATGGGTGATGGCTTCACTGGAAAGGCACTCGCGGCAGCCCAACGCAAAATCAAGAAGTGGAGAATGGACTTGTAGCGGGAACGTCCCGTTACAGAGGTCATGTGATTTATCTCTCAGACTGAGTCCTCGATCGGCTGGCTTTGACCGCCGATCACCCTATATAAGTAGATAGCTCCTTTTTTTCCCCTTTTCCTTGGTCAATCTAGTGCTTATCCCTCTCACTGTCGTCTCCCCCCTCCTCCTTGTAGCGGAACTCATCTCGGTCTAGACCCTTCCGTTACATATTTTGAGAGCTCCACCTGCTAGATTCGTCGCTGCGCCGAACCCTCCCTCCCTCGAACTGGCGCTCGACGACTGACTACCCCTGACCCCAAATGATGTCTGGCGGCATGCACCACCGATTCCACCCAAAGTCCCGACGCGGGCACCCAGACCTCGAACCCGATGTGCCCACTGTGCTTGCTCCCTCCGACACTGTCTCCATGACTGGACGACCGACAGCATCGGACGCCGCCAGACCCCTGAGTGTCCGCTCAAGACAGAGCGGCACGCCACGATCCGAGCTAGAGGGGCATCCTTCCCTTCCAGCCTCAGCCCCTGAAATCTCGCATCTCCCTGGGATGTTTGCATCCCCAGCCGTGCCGACGCGAGTGGGTTTATCCCAGTTGGCACGAGACAGCCCGGCTCTGCCGGAGAAGCCGTCCTATGGACGAGAGAACTCCTTGATCGATTTGGATACTGCTGCTGAGAGCCAGTTCGAAGCTCATCAGCACAGTGGATCCACCGTTCCGGTGATTCGTTCATTGGTTAGTCAGGATCAATCTGTCAGCGACCGAGAAACCGTCGCTTCACAGACTTCCACAACCATGTCGCGCGCCATGCAAGGCATGAGCGTCACGGAATTGGTAAGCTTTGCGCGTCGCCACCAGGCTATTGCGCAGGAAGCTTTAGCTGCGGCTGCAGATCGTGATCTTAGTTCACAGCGCAGTGAACAGGATCCGTACGATGGTATCGATTTCGCTCGTTTAGATCATGGAATTACCAACTTTAATGAACAATTAGTGACTGGTGAGACGTTCCCTGCGATGTCTTCGTCCTTCCCTCCCATGTTTGAGTCGACCTACCTGTCCCCAGTCGGGGCCCGTCCTGCCTTCCCATCGGGTACTGGTCCATCATACCCTTCGAAGGACAAGGGTCCTGATCCTCGTAACTGGGGAGGTCTGTCGGACCGATTCTCTGAGCATGATCTTGACACTCAGCGTGCTGCGTTCGCGAATTTTGATGAGATCAGACGCATGAAGCACGAGGACAGTTACTTGCCGCCGTCTGTCTCGGTTCGGCATGACAGCCGCAGATCTCCGACCACCATCTTGTCGGAGCGGAATTTGAAGATGCATAGTGTAAACGCCTCTGGGCACGATGACCAGGGCGTTGAAGAACATTTTGTGGACTTGCAGCGCCAAATTGACAGCCTGCATAGAGCTGTGACGGAATCTCGGGCCTCGACGCCCGTTAAGATGCTGAATGCCGAGAACAAGCAAGGTGAAAGCTTGTCCCAGGCCCAGACCGCTGTGAAGAACAGCATCGACCGTCATATCAGCATTGGTGTGCCGCCGACGCACACCCAGACAGACGCACGTGAGAGGACTCCTGCAACTCGTACCGGGGCAGGAAGCTTCATTGAGCGTGCGTTGCGCAACGTCGATAGCTTTGGCGGACCCCCTCCATCCGAGCCGCCGTCCAGCAATCCCTCGGATGTCGGAAGTCGGAGCCCGACACCAGTGCCACGTCGTTCCAGGCAAGGAGAGACTGTGAACGTCTCAGTAAACGAACCGAAAATGATCTTGAAGCCAATTCCGCCGAAGGAGTACGACGGATCTCCTAATGCGGTAGCGTTCCACCGATTTGTGAAAGAGGGAACAGCTTACCTAAAGCTCGGCCGCGTCCCCGCTGATGAACGAGCGTTCTATTTGTCGTATTTCATGTCTGGCCATGCACGAGAGTTCTATAACAGTCGCGTGGAAAATGATGAACATACCTGGACGTTATCAGACTTCTTCTGGGGTCTATTCAACTTCTGTTTCCCTGTGAACTTCCGTGAGAAACAGCGGTCGAAGTTAAACGCGTGCAAGCAAGATGACAAATCTGTATTGGTCCATAAGGCCGAGTGGGAGCAGATCTTCAATACGATTGGTCTGGAAGCAAACCAGGAGAAAGTCGTGATGTTTTGTCGCAGCTTGAAGACGTCGATTCGCAAGGAAATGTTCCGCGCGAATTTGGATCCCGAAATGTCGACTTGGGATGAGGTTACTCGCGGTGCTGAAGCTGCTGAGGTAATCGTGAATCTTGACCTTGAGGATGCCGACAGTGATGAGACTGAGGCGCCGAAACCTCAGCCCAAGTGGAAGAAAGAAAACTTGGCTACGGATTCAAACGAGAAGCGCCGCAACGGAGGGCGAGCTCTATCGGTGTCAAGTGCTGCTGTCGAAACTCCAAAGAAGAACCAGCACGAAAAGACATGGGATTACGTGACGCGTGACGGCAAAATTGTCTGCCAAGACTCGAGCTACGTACCTGAGCGAGGGACGCTGCTTCGAGTGTGGAGAACGCGGGCACTTGTCTCGAAACTGCCCCGATGTGAGTGGAATGAAGTCGGAGAATCCCGGGAAACCGCCGGGTATTGCTTCACACGCAATCGATATCTCGCTTGCTGAGACCACTGAAACTGTGAAAGAATCGTTTGATGATGAATGAAGTCCGTCAGTCGTCGAGGAGGGCGGGCGGATACAAGAATGACGTGTGATTGACATTGATTGATTTTTTCTGATTGACACTTGACTGATTTAATTGACATTTACTTCCGTGGATGGATTCGACGCCATCTCGGACTTGTTATTGAACTGGTAAGAGAATTTTTAATGGACTGTGAGCTCACCGCCAGCGTTGAGCTGGAGGGCGTATGTAGCGGGAACGTCCCGTTACAGAGGTCATGTGATTTATCTCTCAGACTGAGTCCTCGATCGGCTGGCTTTGACCGCCGATCACCCTATATAAGTAGATAGCTCCTTTTTTTCCCTTTTCCTTGGTCAATCTAGTGCTTATCCCTCTCACTGTCGTCTCCCCCCTCCTCCTTGTAGCGGAACTCATCTCAGTCTAGACGCTTCCGTTACAGGACTCCACCGACTGGGAGTTTGTTGAACAACTAATCAAAGCTCTTGAGGTACGTTATAGTTGTGCGAGAGCTCTGAGCTGACTTATACTCAGATTCTCGAGCTCATCACCAAAGAGTTCTCTCTCAAAACGGTCCCAACCCTCCCGAAAGTTCTTCCGTTTTATAAGCTGATGGAGACCGATCTTGAGGCAAAGTCGAAGGAACTTTGTTCTATTCCCAACCTCTCCGCTGCTCTCCTCGCTGGCTCAAAAATGGCGACAAAATACATCAACAAAGCTCTCGAAGGTGATTACCCAATGTTGGCAACCCGTAAGTGGGATACTGTCTCTGTTTCCGCCTCTGATTGCTTGTCAGTTTTGCACCCTGCGTTACGTCTCCGCTTCTTCCAAAACAGCAATTGGGACCCCAGTGTTGCCAACAGAGCGAAAAAGATCCTCGTCGAAATTGTACAGAGGTATCTGGCAGAGATTCCAACCTCTGATACGGCTTTGGTTGCAGAGGCTGCTCCTACCCGCAGTGTCTTCGGTCTGGCAGCAACCATGGGCTCCAGGACTGGAGGTGTCGCTTCACTTGATGCCAGTGCAGAGATAGAGCTTTATTTCGGAGGCATCTCACCTGTCGCGGACATGTTTGATGATCCACTCGGATGGTGGAAGGTAATTGAGCTCATCATCAGTTGCCCTGGATGTCATCTCTGACCAGTTTTCAGGACCAGGCCGTTACACTCAAAGGTCTTGCGCGTGCTGCGCGTGATATCCTCGGCATTCCCGGAGTCAGTATCTCTGTTGAACGCCTCTTTTTGAGCCTCCGTCACACTCTGAAGGAGTCTCGGATGTCTATGACTCCCGAGAAGATTGCCATGAGTGTCAGTACAAAGGAATGGATCAAGTCTGGGCTGAATGAGGGTCTCCATTACACTGATTTTATTCGTATGCACAGTAAATAAACTGACAGTAAAGATATCGTGATATATCATAGATATAATCTGATACACCGCGATAAATACAATATGATACATTACAGATATATATGTCCTGAGAACCCTTAATACGATACAATAAAAATACGATATGGCAAATTTGTATCGTAGCTGTATCTGGACAGCACTACTGGCATGATGGATTGGGATCAAAATAACGTCCAAATACCTCATAT